CAGACTTCAAAAGGTGCCAGACTCTTAGTTATTAATAATTCTCTCCTGTATCAGGAAAAAGACCCAGAAAGAGAAAAGAATTCTTTACAGATGTAAATTTTTTCCCACAAGAGACAGCTTTGCAGGGCCATTTCAAAATATGTCAAAGAAAGATATTTTAGAATAAAATACTTTGAGTTCTTCCAGGGCCTGCTATCTGTCATGTTGGTATCTTACTGCGACAAAGAATCTGCTTCGTCCATCTTAAGGTTTCTGTTTTAATGCTAGTGCTGGTCAGTTGTTGCCTAAATTCCAAAGGGTGGAGGCTATAAGGCATGTCCAACTACCCATTTCCATCATGGCTTGAACTAACATTTCAGGTTACCTTCGCTTTTTTTTTTTTCTTTTCTTTTTGAGATGGAGTTTCACTTGTCTTGCCCAGGCTGGAGTGCAATGGTACAATCTTGGCTCACCACAACCTCTGCCTCCCGGGTTCAAGCGATTCTCCTGTTTCAGCCTCCCGAGTAGCTGGGATTACAGGCATGCGCCACCACACCTGGCTAATTTTGTATTTTTAGTAGAGATGGGGTTTCTCCATGTTGGTCAGGCTGGTCTCGAACTCCTGACCTCAGGTGATCCATCCCACCTTGGCTTCCAAAGTGCTGGGATTACAGGCGAGTCACCGAGTCAGGTCTTGTTTTCGTTTTTTAGAGACAAGTCTTGCTCTGATGGCCAGGCTGGAGTGCAGTGGCACAATCATAGCTCACTGCAGGTCCATTCCATCTGCACTCAAGGAACCTCTCACCTCAGCTCTCCTGAGCCAGCTGGGACTGCAGGATGTGCCACCATAACCTGTTTCAATAGTATATACCCTTATATAGACTATTATAACTATTATATTTTTTTTTTGATCAACAAAATGACCTTTAAATTATATGTCACTGGATTTTTCATACTGGGAATACATTCATTATACAGATTGGGTGGGTCCTTCCTGAAATTTTGTCTTTTTTTTTTTTTTTTTTTTTTGAGACGGTCTTGCTTCTGTGCCCAGGGCTGGAGTGCAGTGGCGCGAATCTCGGCTCACTGCAAGCTCGCCCCCCGGGGTTCACGCATTCTCCTGCCTCAGTCCTCCCGAGTAGCGTGGGACTACCAGGGCCCACCCACAGTCCCCGGCTAATTTTCTTGTTGAATTATTTTTCTAGTAGATGACGGAGGATAACATTCACCGTGTTTTCGCCCAGGATGGGTCTCGATCTCTCTAGATCTTCGGATGTTTGCCCGTGGCATACGGCCTCCCAACTAGTGCTGGCGTAATTCAGGCTTTGAGCCAACCGCGGGCGCCCGGCCCTGGCAAATTTCTTCTAATGTTTCTGATCTCCACTAATAGAGTCAAGCTCCATTCACAAGATATGCTTCTGTAATTACAGGTCATAGACAAGACGGTAATGTCACTGATTATCTTTAACATTCACCTCAACGGTTGCGAGTATTAATCCAATCGTATGTGACTTTATATAGGAATGCATTGTCCTGATTTGGGAAGAGGATTAAAAACCAGTTTCTACATGTAAGCAATAGTCTATTTCCTCTTATGAATAATATTAATAAGATCCGCTCACTTTTATCCTTCCAAATCCAACCATTTAATGAACACCAACGATGTTTATTTAATACCTATTATGTGCCTGACAGCCACAGTGCATCTGACACTTTCTCCAAAACAACTATGATTTGAACCTTGAGTAAATCACTTTGGTTAGAGTTACTATATTTGCTCAAGATGACAAATGCAGGTGCTTTCTTTTTTAAAGAAAAATGACACTAGATCATTAACACCTTGAGTACTAGGACAGGTAATTGCCTCTGTAATCCCCAGAGTCTAGTGTAGTGCCTGGTCCACAGAAAGCTCTCAATAAGTGTTTGATTACATTTAATCTCAGAGCTCCCTTTCAAAGGATACTTCCAAGAGGTAAAACTCTAAACCTATACTCCTACTGATAGCAGAATTTCTTAACTAATCCAGAACCATCTTCTTGGCTTAAGTATAAATTCTTGCCAGGCACAGTGGCTCACACCTGTAATCCTGCTATTTGGGAGGCTGAGGTGGGAAGATCAGTAGAGGTCAGGAGGTCAAGACCAGCCTGGGCAACACAGTGAGACCCATCTCTAAACAACTATTTAAGAATTAGCCAGGCATGCTGGCACATGCCTCTAGTCCCAGCCATTTTGGAGGCTGAGGCAGGAGGATCATTTAAGCCCAGGAGTTCAAGGCTGCAGTGAGCTATGATCAGGTCACTTCACTCCAGCCAGGGAGACAACTGGAACCCATGTCTTATAAACAATAATAATTAATTTTTTAAAAAAGTATTTACACCATCCACACCAATCCTGGGGGAGCTAAAAATCCACCCTTGGCTGGGCGTGGTGGCACAAGCCTGTAATCCCAGCACTTTGGGAGGCTGAGACGGGCGGATCACGAAGTCAGGAGATGGAGACCATCCTGGCTAACACGGTGAAACCCCATCTCTACTAAAAAATAAAAAAAAACTAGCTGGGCGATGTGGCAGGCCCCTGTAGTCCCAGCTACTCGGGAGGCTGAGGCAGGAGAATGGCGTAAACCCGGGAGGTGGAGCTTGCAGTGAGCTGAGATCGGGCCACTTTACTCCAGCCTGGGCAACAGAGTGAGACTCAAAAAAAAAAAACAAAAAAATCCACCTTTAATATTTCAGTTTTAAAACCTGGTTGATTTGGAATAGAACTTTGTCCAAATTAAATTGTAGAAATGTTATGGATTCAAGACTAAACCTGCTTGATTAATCCAACAAGCTGAAAAACTACTCTGTTAATTTCTTTGTCGTAAATTGATCACTATAATTTTACCTTACATGTCATTTATATTTTGTACATATATGAGCATTTTAATTTCCATAACTTTTAACAGGTTGACATAATACTTCTCCACGCAGTAAGTCAGTCATTTTTTCCACTTATAACTGTAATTCAATAAAATTTTGGTCATCTTGGTCATCTAGCTCCATGCTTAATAATCTAGGTAAGTAAGCAGGCATGGCTCATAGACATGAGCTATACCTCACTCGCAAAAACATCTCCAGCAAACTCTCTAAACTTCTTTCAACTGCAGAGAACTATGAAAAGAATAATGCCAGCTGGCAGAAGAACAAGGACGGAGGTAGGTCAAATCAACTGTTCTTTCTCTTTCTGTCTCAAGCTGCCTAGAGCAGGAGCTACTTCTGTTTAGCCAAAAGCCAAAATAGACAAGGAACCTATCCCTGCCTCAAGTATTTTACAGATTAAGCTCCTAGCTTCGCACAACTTGATGGGATATAAGACTGCAGGACTGGCCAGGTGCGGTGGCTCATGCTTGTAATCCTAGCATTTTGGGAGGCCGAGGCAGGTGGATCACTTGAGGTCAGAAGTTTGAGACCAGTCTGGCCAACATGATGTCTCTACTAAAAACACAAAAATCAGCCAGGCATGGTGGCATGCACCTGTAATCCCAGCTACTCAGGAGGCTGAGGCACAAGAATTGTTTGAATTCGAGAGGCAGAAGTTGCAGTGACCTGAGATTGTGCCACTGCACTCCAGCCTGCGCAACAGAGAGAGACTCAGTCTCAAAAAAAAAAAAAAAAAAAAGGCTGGAGGATGAGGCTGGTTTCTCCAAAGCTCTTTAAATCTCTGTTTGGGCCTGAGTGGCCCATGCCTGTAATCCCAGCCCTCTGGGAGGCTGAGGCAAGAGGATTGATTGCTTGAGGCCAGGAGTTCAATACCAGCCCAGGCAACATAGCAAGACCCCATCTCTACACAAAAAAAAAAAAGAAAAAAGAAAAAAAAGTATCTATTTAAGGCTATAGTAGTGTTACCGAATATAGGAATATCTACATTGATTAAATGAGAAAAAAACTCTGGTTAGGTCGCAACTAGGAGTCATAGGAAGACAGAATTTCAGAAATTCATATCACACCAGACAGATGTGTTTTATTAAAAAAGAAGAAAAAACCTTTAATCAGAAAGTCTGATTAAATTCAGTATTAACTCAAACTCTTAAAAAATGTCTGGAAAAGTCAACAGGGTACATCACAGAAAAGCAGGCAGCTGCTGACAGTTCTTTGGTGGAAGAGTAAGTTGCATACTTACCCAAGCTGCCCAAATGATTATCAAGCCAAGTTTGCTTTTCAAAAATAGGTTTTAAGATACACCAAAGAAACTATACAATACAAAAATTTAACAGTGAAGTTAAAGTATATAGCAAAAGTCAAATATGACAATACACATAAATAATGTGTAAAAGAAGCCTTTGAATCCTAGAAAACTAAAATGGGGAGAACTTACTGAAGGGTAACATACATAAAATGAGTACTAATAGCAAGGAATAATCCTAAACATTTTCCCAGTGACTGACTAAGCCTCAAAAAGACAGCTTAGGAAAACGATTAACATGTAGTTTTCCTTTTTTCCTCGCCAATTCAGTTCTACTTAGATAAATTTGGTTACCAATCAATACATATACAAATTATTTTTTTTCTGCTCAATTACTACCATTTTTTCTTTCTCACGTTTTCCCTAATTTTCTCTAGCAACACTTTTCCTTTGGTTTGGTCGGTTGAACTCAAAAGGTTTGGTACCTAAAATGAGTATCAACTGTTATCGGAATAGCACTTGGGAAATGCAATCCTAGAAAAGGCAAATGTGTAACCGAAGTGCTTGACAAAGTGAAGTGTCCAGTCTCCACACGGTAATGTCTCCCACGTTAATCACTAGGTTAATGGCTGCTCCTGGCTAGATCACAGGATGCTGCATGATACTGGAATGCTCCGTGGTGAGGTACTGCAGAGGTATGTGCACAAACACCCACCCATTTAAGCTTTCAATAAATACATCATTTTAAACCATTTCAGTAGAATAAATTAAAAATACTGCATTTCTGTTGGCCCGCTTTGCTTCTTGAGCTGGCCTGGAGTGCTGCTCCTGACATAGTAGACACAATAATTAGCGGCTACCCTAAGCTCTTTAGACTCCAGCACTTCTCACTCTTCAAGCCTTAGCACCTGTTTTGCAGCAATAATGTTTTTTTTTGTTTGTTTGTTTTGTTTTGTTTTGTTTTTTTGAGACGGTGTCTTGCTCTGTCTCCCAGGCTGGAGTACAGTGGCACGATCTCGGCTCACTGCAAGCTCTGCCTCCCAGGTTCATGCCATTCTCCTGCCTCAGCCTCCCAAGTAGCTGGGACTACAGGCGCCCACAACCACGCCCAGCTAGTTTTTTTTTTTGTTTTTTGTTTTTTTTGTATTTTTAGTAGAGAAGGGGTTTCACCGTGTTAGCCAGGATGGTCTTGATCTCCTGACCTCGTGATCCGCTCGCCTCGGCCTCCCAAAGTGCTGGGATTACACACATGAGCAACCGCACCCGGCAGTAATGGTATTCTTCATTAGCATTGCCACTGTCATGGGGCCAAACACATCCAGGAACTGGAGTGATATAACCGGCTTTTTCTCCGACTCCTTCAAAATCCACATCTCCAATCAACTTGGGTTTGGCAGTTACAGGATCGTGAACTCTATTTACTCCCACATCAATGACTGCTGCTCCTTCCTTGATCATATCTGCTGTGATCAGATTTGGAATACCTGCAGCAGATATTACAATATCTGCAAAAATTGTATGTTTCTTCAACTGCTCTTTGGGAGTATATCGATGAGATATTGTAACAGTGGCATCACCTCCGGGACGTTCATGCGCCCCATCTGTGTGCAGTAACATTACAAAGGGCATTCCAACATTTTTTGACCTTCCAGCCACAACCACATTCTTCCCTAGGGTTGGAATGCCAGTTCGCTTAATTAGTTCCCACACACCCCACGGGGTAGCCGGTAACGTGGAATACTGGTCCAAACACATTCGCCCTACATTAATTACGTGAAAGCCATCAACATCCTTGTCCAGAGAAACAGCATTGCAGATCCTCCTCTCATCAATGTGCTCTGGAAGAGGCAGCTGAACAAGGAGATCATCTACATTATCATCATTATTCAGTTTACCGATTACATTCAACAATTCTTCCTCTGAAATTTAAGCTGGTTTCACAATGGTCTCACTGTTCATTCCCATATCTGCAGCTGCCCTGGTTTTGTTGAGGACGTAGGAGTGACTTGCAGAATTCTCGCCAACCAGGATCACGCTCAGGTGTGGCCATTTGTTGCCTGAGGCCACCCACTCTTCTACCTCCTGCCGCACTTCCTGCTTGAACTGCTGGGCCAGTTTCCTTCCAGAAATTACAACAACTTCATCTCGAACTGCGGCGAGGTGGAAGGGGTGAGGGCGGAGGAAGCAGCTGTGCACGGGCTGCAGCAACCCAGAAACCAGCGCCGACGTGAGGGAAGTCGCAGCCGTAGCTCGCGCCGGTGACCGCGCCAGGAACTGTTTAATATTTTTAATTTTTAGTAGAGATGGAGTATCTCTATGTTGCCTAGGCAGTTCTTGATCCCCTGGCCTCAAGTGATCTTCCCTCCTCAGCCTCCCAAAACGTTGGGATTATAGATGTGAGTCACAGCCCCCAGCCCCAAGGTTAACTTTGGAACCCCTTGGCCTAGAGGAGGGGTCCATTGCGTTGGTTGGGGGGCTTAGAATTTTATTTTTGGTTTACAAAGGTATACAATATATTTGATATACATATATATTGTGAAATGGTTACCACAATCAAGTTAATTAACACATCAATTGTTTGTCATAGTTACCCACCCGCTTCTTTTTAATAAGAACATTGAAGATCTATTCCTTTAGCAAATATTGAGTATATAATACAATATTGGCCAGGGGCTTTGAGTCTGCCTTTCTGACAAGTTTTGTGGAGTGCTCTGAGTAGCAGGGTTATTTGACTATTAGGAAAGACAACAGTTTGAGGTAACAATAATTTAGGAGACTCTATCAAGGGCTGAAAGAGACCATGAAGGTAACTAGCATTGGCCCAGGAAGGACTGCCTGATTCTCCAGCAATTTTGCTTATGGAAATCTGCATTTTCTTGGTCTGGATAGTCAGCTGCAGCTCCTCACTGGTTTGTAATAGCATACTATCTTCCTAAGAGGGAATATGATGGAGTAAATACATCACAAGTTTTAGGATCCAACACGTGGATACAAATCTTAGTGCTCTTGGGCAAGATCTTTTAACCTCTTCAGTTACTTCATCTGTTGGGTGAATAAAATAAAGTCTTCCATACAGGGCTACTAAGAAGATTACACAAGCACTTGGCAGAGTGCCTGACTCATAATAAATGCAAAGGTCTAGAGTTGTTATCTTTACTATTATTAATATATACATTGGTCATTTCCCTCTCATGGAAACAATGACAAATTTATTTCAGAAAGTTGTTCTTGAACAATATGAGAAATACCTTCTGTTTGGGGAGACAAGATAGTAAATTTCCCAACACATGCTGGATGGTCCTTTTTCTTTTCAATGTCTTATTTCTGAAAGACGTAGTAGGGGAGGGGCAGACTCAGAGAGAAGTGTGTTGACTTATTGATTCTCAGGAGGTTTGTTTCGAGTGACTGCAGACATTGCTTCCTGACCCAGTGAATGTACAGACCACTGACACAACTCCCTCCAGTAATTGAACCCCAAACAAACAATACTATTCTTCTACTTTCTTTTCTTAGCTAAACACCTTTGACATATACTGATTATTTAAACCTTCCTAGACTTTCAGTTCAGTCTTTCTTTTTTCCTTCATTAGCTCTTGTTTACTTCCTTCTGTCTTTGTTGCTTTTTGCTATTCACAAATGGGGTTGGGTTGGGTGGTAAGAATCTTTTTACTTAAAATAATTTTGCGATAACTCCAAATATGAGAGAACAGGAAAGTGAACCAATAATTTTTTTTTTTTTTTTTTGAGACAGTTTCACTCTGTTACCCAGGCTGAAATGCAGTGGTGTGATCTTGGCTCACTGCAACCTCTGCCTCCTGGGTTCAAGTGATTCTCCTGTCTCAGCCTCCTGAGTAGCTGGGATTACAGGGGTGCACCACCCCACCCAGCTAATTTTGTATTTTTAGTAGAGACAGGGTTTCACCATGTTGGCCAGGCTGGTCTCCAACTTCTGACCTCAAGTGATCTGCCTGCCTTGGCTTCCCAAAGTGCTGGGATTAATTATCATTAGTTATTTCCATGCCCGGCCAACCAATTATTTTTAATAGATTTAAAAAAAGAAATTTGGAAAAGTATGCTACTTCTCTGAAGTCACACAGCTCATAAATGACAGAGGCAAGATACGAACTTAAGTTTTTCTAACCTCATAGCTCATGTTCTTTCAAGTATGCCATGCTTATTGTCAAATCTGGGAGATAAAACAAGTACACAGACTAATATAATTCAAGCTAAAGTGGGTTATAGTGACTTAAGTACTCAAAGGGAAATCCCAGCACCTCTTCTCAGAATTAGGAAGAGCCAAGTTTCAGTGGAAAATACCACAGAGGTAAAGCTAGAAAGGATAGGTTGGGGCCAGATTATAGAAGGTTATGCCAGGTGAGCATGAACATATAATTCAGTAAACAACTAGAAACTGTTGTAAGTGCTTAGCCAACAAGTGACTTAATCAGAGCTAAATTTTAGGAAAATGGATTCAACAATAGTATGTTGGATGGATTAGGGCAGGGAAAAGCAGAAAGCTCTATTTGGTGCCATGAAGGATACACAGATCAATTAACCTTGTGTTCTACATGTAAGATTCTCATTACACAGTAACTTTTTACACACAAAGAAAACTTCAATGAAAGGTAGAATTTAATAAATGTCATTGAAATATACAAAATGTCTTAGTAGTTGAAGGTTGAGGTGGCAAAAACAATCTGTTTTTAGTTAGTGTAGAAGGATAGATTTGTTAGGCAGTCATTGTCAACATGAAAATTTTGAAAAGCTAGGTCTGATTTCATGGACATTTAAACTTTCTTGAAATTTATATTTCAGCTCATATGTAGACCCAAACAAGTAGCTCACCATCTCTCCAACCTAGGAATTCCTTCCAAATACTAATGCCTAAAATCATTTTTTAAAATTATATATTAGAATTTCCAGTGGCAGGGTCTGGAGAAGGGGCGGCAGTTGCCATGTCCAGCCGCTAAGGTGGCAAGAAGGCCCTGAAACAGCCCAAGACGCAGGCCAAGGAGATGGACTAGGAAGATAAGGCTTTCAAGCAGAAACAAAAAGAGAAGCAGAAGAAACTCGAGGAGCTAAAAGTGAAGGCCACGGAGAAGGGGCCCTTGGACAAGGTGGAATTAAGAAATCTGACAAAAAGTAAGCTGTTCCTTGTGCCTGAGGTGATGGTGACCATTGATTTCATTCGTATTTAAACATCAGTATTCCCTGCCATAATGTCTTTTGCCACCTATAGCTGGAATGAAGTGTTGTCTTGGAGCCTGTTGTATATTTAAGAATAAACTTTTGTAAAAATAAAAAATAAAAGATAAAAATTATATATTACTATAGAAGATCTTGGCGGCCTTGCCTCTAGTCCCAGCTATTTGGGAGGAGGATTGCTTGAGTCCAGGAATTTGAGTCCAGTGTGGGCAACATAGAGAGACTCTATCTTAGAAAAAAAAAAAAAGGAATTATTTAGGTATGCAAAAAGGCAAAGTTAAGAGTAAGAATTTGGTTTTTAAAATAAAAGAAAAAGAAGCAAATCTACAGTAAGTTTTATTTTTAGAGCTGCTGCTTTATCAACTAAACCAAGATGAAACACTTATTCATAAGATGACAAAATTTTTTTTCTTCTTAAATTCATTTCTGAGTTAATACATATCTGACTCATTGTCACCAAAGAGGAACCTTCTTGTAGAGACTTGTGCAGCTGCCCTAGGGTCAGTCTCTACAGAAAATATACTTACCTTCATGCAGTGCTAATAGTGTAAATGTTAGTTGAAATCTGATTTTGATTATAAATAAGCTTTTTTTTTTTTTTTTTTTGAGACGGAGTCTCACTCTGTTGCCCAGGCTGGAGTGCAGTGGTGCCATCTCGGCTCACTGCAAGCTCCACCTCCCGGGTTCATGCCATTCTCCTGCCTCAGCCTCCTGAGTGGCTGGGACTACAGGCGCCCACCACCGTGCCAGGCTAATTTTTTGTATTTTTAGTAGAGACGGGGTTTCACTGTGTTAGCCAGGATGGTCTCGATCTCCTGACCTCGTGATCCGCCCACCTCGGCCTCCCAAAGTGCTGGGATTACAGGCGTGAGCCACTGCGCCCGGCCATTATAAATAAGATTTTATAAAAATTGACAAATAGACTAGAATTGTCTTTGCAAAAGTGAGATTTTTAACAATGAGGTTTCTGGTTTCTTGAGAAAATACTCCCTAACACAGACTCATTTGCAATGAGAACGTCCATGAAACTCTCAGAAAGTAAGACGGAGCAGTGCAAATATCTGTAACAAGCAATAATGCCACAATGCAGAAAAACCAGGATTAATATCATTCTGATTCAAAGCTTTTAAGCTTGGAAATCCATCTGACAGAAAGGATAAGAACTCAAGTTTATTTCAATTGAAGCAAAACAGGAAGAACAATAAGTAGCTAATCCTGATAATGGGAAAAGGGGGGAAAAGATTAGCTGAGCAAATGATGTTTCCTGATTGAATGAATTGGTGAAGTCTCTGGGATTCGGGTTAAATGTTGGGGCAAATTGGGTGAAGATGGGGTGGTTAAATTCACCTACCTAATTTTTGTTTATGAGATCCAACTGGAAAGATAGAGAAACTTCTGAGGCATTCATTTACTGGAGACTGTGCTCTGATTTATTTAGCAGGAAATACAATATTCACAATGAAACCTAAACAAAAGCAGTTGTGGAGCTGTTGGAAGGTAGACTTCTGATAGCAGGAATAGGAACACACCCAAGCATCAGGTCAGAAAGTTCTGGCTCCATGTCAGTGTCACCATTTACCAGCTGTGGGATTCAATATAGGAGAGTCTCAGGGGTGGCAGTGTTGCTGAAGCATTCTGGAGTTTCATTTGCACAGCAAGCACACTCTTTCCTTAGGCTGTCTAGCTACTGTGGTAGCTTGGAGGACTTGAAGATGGGGGATTGGGAAGAGTAGGGAGGACCTGATCTCCCCATGCCTACCCCTGGCACTGCCTCAAGACCTTGAGCAAGCTGCTCAATTCTCTGAGCCTAAATCTCCCATTTGCACAACAGGAATAATAATATCCCCTTACAAATCTGTTGCATATAGTAAATGAGGTTAATTAATGTGAAGTGCTGCCTCCTAAATGCTCCATAAATGTATGTTAAATGTAAAAGATATCAAAGGGGAAATACTACAGTAGGAAATTTGTTTAAAAGCAGATTGTTTCTGTTAAAAAATTCTCAATTCTGTCCTGTTCCTAGATGAGTTTTGGTATCTATTTTCAGATATAGTTAGCCTTCCATATCTTCTACATCCTTAGATTCAATCAACCTTGGATCAAAATATTTGAAAAAAAATTAAAAATAATAATAGAACAATAAAAAGAATATAAAAAGTTAAAAATACAGCCTAATAACTATTTATACAGCATTTATATTGTATTAGGTATTATAAGTAATTTAGAGATGCTTTAAACTATACTGAGTGTGGCTGAGGCAGGAGAATTGCTTGAACCTAGGAGGCGGAGGTTGCAGTGAGCTGAGATCAAGCCACTGCACTCCAGCTTGGGTGACAGAGCAAGACTCCGTCTCAAAAAAAAAAAAAAAAAAAAAGAACTAAAATGATAGCGTAAAGGTAGCTCAGTGCTCAAAAGTTACCACCTCAAAGTGAAGGAAAATTGTAAAAACCGTCACAAGTCTGAGAACTCATGCCCTACTTCCACCCCAGGTTGACTGTCTCACCTGCCAGGAAAAGATTTCACTCCTAATGTTGAACCAAGCATTTTGTTAGCCTGACTCTATTTGTTCTTAAATAGATATGAAGACACTTTTTATCTGAGAGCACATTAACTACTTACAGAAGAATGAATGAATGGAGCTCCCAGAGATTGTCCCTTAGAGCTCTGCATTCATTTGCTCACTCATTAATTGAAGAAAATTGGTGGGTACATGTGCTGTGCTAAGAC